CACTGTATAAGTGCAAAAGGTTCTCATGATGCTTATATGAGTTATTGCCCTTTAACTTCTTTGTATTTACTATTAAACCTTATAACTTGAAAACTATAAGTCATAGAAGCATGGGGTCAATTGCATTATAACCTTAACCTTTGACCTTGAATATTTTTTCAAGGTCAAAGGTCAAGGTCTTTCCAATTTTTTCTTTAATTTTATTTTTTCTATGCTTTAAGATAATTCTGGTTTCTTTTTCATGGAATATAATTTTAAGGAGTCAGATATAAATAAATTTGAAATTCAAAGAAGGTGGAAAGACCTCTTATTGTTCTGTGAACAATAAGTCTCCTAGTTATGTATTAAGTTACTGTAGAAGTACTTTTTTTCCGCTTGGTATTAATTTACACTATGTACGCGGTCACAAAATTTTTGCGGAAATTCGTCCAAGCGTACTTAATATAAATGTAAGGCATAGAGTGACAATCCAGAAAATCCGCGTAATGTTCTACCCGCGGATTAAACAGAAATTGAGATTCCCCAGAATTATGACCCCATGGAACAAAGTACTTCTACAGTAGTTTGTTTTATATTCAGGAACAGAGAAAATATACACAATTTCAACTCATTGGATAAAGCCAATATCAAATCACACATTGTCAAAATAGATATCCTCCATCTGCTTAGTACCCAGGAGAAAGAAGATTTTCAAAGAATTAATGCACTTTCAATACATGTAATCAATATACAGTCATGTAATCAATACAGCCCTGTCCTCACACCAGAACCCCTGATCTACAAGCCATGAAATTCACAAAATTGAAAGTGGCACTCTGGCTCATCATAACTATATATTTAGTTAGTTTATTTAATACATAAGAACAGAGGAGATTTTTTTCAAAGAATAAATGTATTTTCACTACATACCGTATATCGGGATATTTTTACTGCTGTAAATTTTTATGAATTTAGGCTGAAATAAGGTGATTCTAATTTTAACGCGTTAATTTTTTACGAATTGAGCATGTCCATAAAAATTAAAATAATCGGAGGTGAAATTCCAAATAAATGTTTTAGCAATTTGAATGCGTTTACATACAAATAAGCTTAATGCGTCTGGAAACCCCAATGTAACAATCAAAATGAAATTATTCCCTAGAAATCGAATGTCAATTCATTAAATTATCATGTTTGTTCATTGAATTACCTTTTATTATGGCTTCATATATAATGTACCCTTCTAAGATTACTATTTTTTTTAATTAAAACACAATTTGCTAAGCATCATTATTTATGAGCACCACGTGCCCATCATCATTTTACCAGAAATATAAAGGAGAGACAACTCAAAACCATCATAATTTACTTGACACTTCGAAAGTGTGTTAAAAAGTCAAATTTCTATTGAATGCAAACAAAACAGAAGAAAGAGTCAACAACTTTGAAAAACAGGTATAATTTGGAGATCTGTAATAATTAAATCATTAACAGAAATTATGCATCTTTAAACCAGGTAAATGACGATGATTGTATACCTTATGCGTTAATTAAGATTAACTTGTTTAATCCAATTGATGATCAATTTAAAAGTGCTGAAAATACCAACGGTACTAATTCTAGCCTACCGGTAATGAGTTTAATGGCAATTATAGCAGATACTCTCATAAATACGATGTTGAAAATTTAGGCCAGATGTTTTTTTTTACTTCTGTGAAATTTTATCCGTATAAATTTTACGGATTTATACAACACGTAAAAATTATCAGCACATAAAAAATACCCGTTAGGGTGAGTTAACCATGCATCGGACACATACCTTGCTCCGGACAACTTTAAGCATTAAACTCTCTTTCAACTTAAGAGTTCCATGTATTTATTTGTTTCTGTCTTGAAGCTAAAGATTTAAATTTTTTAATGATGCCGATTAATATTATCATGTTGTGATAAAAATATCCCGAGAATGTCCTTGAAGTTACGTCATATTTTACATCATCAAAGGGGAATAACCAGAAATTTATGATTTTGCAATTTTTAGAGTTATCGATCTTTAAATTCGACTTCAACGGAACACGTCAGACTTTGGTGAATTTGTCTTAGATTGGTAATTTTACATAAATTTTAAAGAAATTTCACTTCAGTGTTTGTATTATTCTTTTTAGAGCTGGTTTTACAAGTATGATAATTTCTCCGTACATCGGACACAAATTAACCATGCATCGGACACTTTCTGATGCAAAGGCAATCACAACCATTTTCATATAGAACCCAACTGACAGCTGTTTTTCTCGGAAATAGAAAATAAATACTCTAAATTTTCAGTCAAAATACAAGTTATCCATATATGAAGTCTAGAATCTGTCTCAATTTATTTCTACAAACAGAGTATGATAACCCATGCCGATAAGCGCGAATTACCACGATACAAGCATTTTAAAGCATTTCTAAGGCAAAGTGAGGCATCTTGAATTGTTCTACATTTGTGCAACGATATCGTCAATTAAATTTCAGATGAGGGTTATTTCTAAGATTAAAGGTAAAAGTATATCCATATCAAGGATTTTAAAGCACTGTGATAAAGGTATGATATTTTTCCAGTCCAAATACCGTCTGTCCGATGCATGGTAAACAATGTCCGATCCATGGTGAATTCTGAGTTATTTTTAAAAACTCGATTTTTGATAATATTTTCTCAATAAAAAGCATATAATTGTGTCCAAAATTTATATTTTAATCACAAACTAAATGTTAAACTCCATTTTGATAATTTTCCGTCAGTAGTGAGATCACTAGAACTTGTTGAAGTACAAGGGTGTCCGATGCATGGTGAATTCACCCTATACAGTAATCAATAGAGCCCCACCCTAACACAAGAACCTCTTACCCAAGGGGTGATAAATTTCACAATTTTGGAAGAGGCTTCAATGCTCATATAACTATGCATTTAGTAGATTTGTTTAATACCCAGGAGCAGTGGAGAAGATTTTCAAAGAATTAATATGCTCTCACTATATAATCAGTAGAGCCTCACCTTAACACCAGAACCCCTGACCAATTAATTTCACATTTTTAAACAAGATGCCCATGGGCCACATCGCTCACCTGAGTAACTTTGGTGATTGTAAAGAAGATTTTTCCTATTTATTTCTATGTAAAATTTGGATTCCCTATTGTGGCCCCGTCCTACCCCCGGGGGTCAAGATTTTGATAATTTAGAATCTACACTACCCAAGGATGCTTCCGTGTAAGTTTCAGCTTTTCTCTCTGATTGGTTCTTGGGAAGTAGATTTTTAAAGATTTTTTCTATATATTTCTATGTAAAACTTGGATTCCCTATTGTGGCCCCGCCCTACCCCCAGGGGTCACAATTTTAACAATTTAGAATCTACACTACACCAGGATGCTTTCACATAAGTTTCAGCTTTCCTGGCCCAGTGGGTCTTGAGAAGAAGATTTTTTGATGACCCCACCCTTTTTTTGTCTTTTTCTTGATTATCTCCCCTGGGAAGGGGACTTGGCCCCTCATTTTTACAACTTTAACTCCTAATCACCCAAGAATACTTTGTACCAAGTTTGGTTAAAATTGGCCCAGTGGTTCTTGAGAAGAAGTTGAAAATGTGAAAAGTTTACAGACGGACGGATGGTTGATGGATGGACTACGGACAAAATGTGATCAGAAAAGCTCACTTGAGCCTTTGGCTCAGGTGAGCTAAAAAGGTACTCTTGCTCATCATAACTATGTATTTAGTAGGTTTGTTTAATACCCAGGACCAGAGAAAAAAATTTTCAAAGAACTAATTGTTTTCACTTATGAATAGAGCACCCCCCCTTTACACCAGAATCTGGGAACCAGGGGCCTTAAAATTAACAATTTTGCAAGAGGCACTTTTGCACTTTTAACTATGTACTTGGTTTGTTTGTTTAATATCCAGGAGCAGAGAAGTTTTTTTTTTCAAATAAATAATGCACTTTCACTATATGATCTATATAGCCCCCTTACACCAGACCCCTGACCCTGAGGTCTTGAATTTTACAATTTGGGTAGATGGCTCACTGCTTAGTACAATCATGCAAACAGTTTGACTGCAGGATTGATGTCGGGAAGTGAAGAAAAAGATTTTTAATGATTGTATTAATTTTGGTGGTTAAATCTGGTCCCATCCCTCACACCCCAGGGATGCAGGAACCCTGAAATTAATGATTTTTGTTCCTATTCAAACATAGATGCTATATGCAAATATGAGTGACTCTGGAGACCTAATTAAAGTTTTGCAATAATAACAATGATGAGAATAATGACACAAAGGAAAAAAAAAACTAGAACTGTCCAAACGGGACAAAATACCCCCCGCTGGCTTTTTCAGAAGTAATTTTTTCCATAATAAAGATATGTATCAAACACAAATTATGAAATTTTTCTTCCAGTGACCTTGAACTTCCCCAAATGACCTTGGGTCAAGGTCATGACACACCCTTGGGTCATGGGCAATCTTTGTGTGAAATGAGAACCTATCAAGTTTATCCATAAGAAAGATATGGACCGGACACGAATTATGAAATTTTTCTTCCAGTGACCTTGAACTTCCCCAAATGACCTTGGGTCAAGGTCATGACACACCCTTGGGTCATAGGCAATCTTTGTGTGAAATGAGAACATACCAAGTTTATCCATAAGAAAGATATGGACCGGACACGAATTATGAAATTTTTCTTCCAGTGACCTTGAACTTCCCCAAATGACCTTGGGTCAAGGTCATGACACACCCTTGGGCCAAGGGCAATCTTAGTGTGGAGTAGTAGTTTCTAATGTCCCTCTGTAAAAAAGATATGGACCGGACACGATTGCACAGACAGACGGACAGCTAGACAGACGGACGGACGGACAGACAGATGGACAGACGGAGAGACGGACAAGGTGATTCCTATATACCCCCCCAAACTTCGTTTGCGGGGGGGGGTATAATAATCAGAAATGCATACTCGAGCTTAAAATGACTCAGGTATGCTGAACATTTTTTTTATTATTTAAAGCCTCTTACTTCATCAGAGCGGTTGTCTGTATCCTGACATTCAATGTATGGTTTTTTCTTAATTCTATTTAAATCTTCATGTAATCCATCAAGCAGAAAAGCAAGTAGTTCCTGTGAATCTTGTTGCTGGTATCCAGAAAACTGGGGAGCAAATTTTCCGACTTGTATCTGGAAATAATTTTTTAAAAAATTATATTGAAAACAGAGAAATATGGTAATTTACTTGATGGAAAAAAGATTGGGCATACTATGCATGTACATGTATTCATGTATTCAAAATGTAGGGCCAAAAAAAAAAATGTGTGTTTCCGGTAACATGTCCCTCAAAATTAGGGTAGGTAGGTAGGCAATTACTTTTTTTTTTACTTTTACTTTTTATTTTAACTGAACATTATATTCGACTGTTTTTTAGGTAAACTGTATATGATATTAAATATTAACAAGTAGTATTTTGTTTTCTAGAGGTATAGGTAGCAGAACCAATTGCAAGAAATTGATTTACAGAAAAAGACATTTGAAGTTTAATCACAATTTAATAATGAAATTTTGTCACATTTAACAAACATAGGTAATCAGAGATTACAGAGCTCACCTCAACGAATGTTGTCTTTAAGTAAGGCAAATTAAGTCACACAATTAACCAACAAAAAGTGTACATCCAAAAATGCAAAATTTATGCAATTTTGATACTTTGGAATAGACCTATATAAAAACTTAAAACTAGTTCTTCATCATGAAAATGTGATTAAAATCCAGCATCTGAAGCAAGATTGAGAGTTTTCATCCCTCGATGCATCATTTGTGCAACTTTGGTTTATATATGCCTTATAGTTTCTTGGTGATAGACCTGCACCCATAACTTTTACGAGGTCTATTATCTGGAAAATGTATGTCGAATTCAGCATCTGAAGCAAGTCCATTAGTGTGCATCCTAAGATGTATCATCCATTCAAGTTTGTTCAACATAGAGCTCAGAGTTACTTGGAAATGAAACCTGTATAAAAAACTAACCTTTCCACTAATCCGGAAAATATAGGTCAGATTCAGCTTCTGAAGCCAGCCTAGTAGAATGCACCCTTAGATGTACCATCCATGCAAGTTTGGTCATTATAGGGCTCAAAGTTACTTGGAAATGAATCCTGCACCATAAACTTTAACCTTTTACTCGTCCAGAAAATGTAGGTCAGATTCAGCATCCGAAGCAAGTCTGGTAGTATGCATCCCAAGATGTACCATCCAGGCAAGTTTGGTCATTATATGTCTCATAGTAACTTGGAAATGAAACCTGCACCAAAAACTTTAACCTGTTCACTCAACTCGAAAATGTAGGTCAGATTCAGCATCCGAAGCAAGACTGGTAGTATGCATCCTAAGATGTACCATCCAGGCAAGTTTGGTCATTATATGTCTCATAGTAACTTGGAAATGAAACCTGCACCAAAAACTTTAACCTGTTCACTCAACCAGAAAATGTAGGTCAGATTCAGCATCCGAAGCAAGTCTGGTAGTATGCATCCTACGATGTACCATCCATGTAAGTTTGGTCAACATAGGGCTTATAGTTACTCGGAAATGAGACCTACACCAAAAACTGCACCAAAAATGTTAACCTGCACCAAAAACATTAACCTGGTCATTCCTTTGCTGAAATTGCAGCATCTGAAACTTTGACTGGTACAATGAAACACATTAGAAACATCTTCCATGCATGTCTAATCAATATAGGACACAGAAGCACTTAAAAAGAAAACTGCTCCAAAAAACTTAACCTTAACCCGGGATGCCGACGCCGAGGGTATTACATAAGCTTCCCCAACTTCGTTGAGGTGAGCTAAAAAAGTAAAATAAAGAATTCAAGATTGTTTTTCAGGCCTTCTTCTACCTCAACCTCATTATCATTACATGTAAAGACATAGTTAATATCCATTTCTTTCACGGCCAATAATGTCAGAGTTAAACCGCCGTTGTTAGCTTCAAAATTATGACTATCTCCAAATAAATTTCCCACAGTCCAGTGCCAAAGAAAGTTATATATTGCAGTTATTTTGTATGAGTGTGGACATTTCTTGAGCTTAAACCCAATGACAACATGTGGTGGACTCGGAATTGAGTGATGCACATATAAAATAAGTGATGAAATACATCTGGGGCCACAATTTGACACACTAGCCATATTCCTGGAGTGTTTGCCTAGTGGCTGCCCCTTACAGCGTTTTAAATGAATTGGAGTGCATTTTAAAACTGAACTAATCATGCTAATAGGGGTCAAACAATTCTTTTATGCTATGTATTATATATCATTGGATTCGTAATAAATTAAATTTTTCTCATCTATTTACAGAATTTTTATTGTAATTTTCTATAAATAAATAATTCAGGTGAAAGCAGGTGTAAATCGCAAAGTAGATATTTTAAACGAATATGCCAAAATTGTCTTTAAAAACTATGAAATTTATATGTGATGTTATAATTAATGATTAAATTATTTTTTATTATCCATTTTATTAGTTTGATTCCTCAGAAATCAATAATTGTAGTGATACTACAATGTCAATCTCGCCAACAAATTTTCAAACTTGTGTGATAAAACTTGATTTCTAAACGTTTTTGAATATTTTAATGATCAAATTCTATTACAATAATTATTTTCTACACCTTTACATTTATAGCTATGCGTAAAATGGAAGATATCTTCTGAATTTCTGAGAAACAGGTAACGAAATCGGCACTGCGCGGTCCCGAACTTCACAAAATTTTCGTATCTTATATTGAAGTATATTACACGTGTAGATCATTATGATTATCAAACCTTTCAAGGAATATGTAGTTGATAGCTTGAATTTCATGTAATGCTTTACTGGATGAGAAAATATTGCGTATTGACCGAGTTATATGCTCAAAAAACATCGTAAGTAACAGTCCGCCATTTTGAATTTTGATGGAACTTTCCGAGATTCTTATGTTTTTTTAAACAAGTAAATCATGTGATTTCAAACTGTAGTATGATGCAATCATCTATTGTTAACCTGCAGGTGGCCACCTGTGCTCTGATAATTTAAAAACAAGCGGTAATTTCAAGTCAAATCAACAATGAAAATATACACACGTGTCAACATCGATTTGGTCAAAAGTCTCATTAAGGGTTGGATGCTAAGTGTCAAAAGTCGTCATTAAAGGGTAAAGGAGGGAACGATCTAAGGGGAAAAGAGCTATTATCTACGCATGTATAATCTTAAGATGCTTGAAAAGACGTTTTTATTTATCTGTTACAAGTGCCTTTTTAACTGCGCGCGTTTTGAAGACTGTGGTTTTAGAACAAATTACGGTACATAATCCGGATTTGCAATAAAAAGTGCTAGGGTCGGCGCGTAAAATTAGGGTTGGTTGGGTTACCGGAAACACAGGTATTTTTTTTTTTGCCTAGCTTAAATCACTGTGTATGGAGTTATTGGCAGATATAGTAATGAATTAGTGCTACAAAAACAAGATGTGTTTGTAAAACACTGATGCCCCTGTATGGCAACATAGTGAAGAATAAACTTTTCTTAAACGCAAATCTAATATATTGGTACCCAAAGTAGGGTATTCTCACTAGAAATACAATTGTGAAATACGAAAGAAGGCCAGGGTTAAATTTTTTCATAAGTATGGAAATGCCCAAGGTCAAGGTCAAAAGGTCAAGATAATTGGTATCCAATGAAAGGGCTTGTCACAAAGAATACATATGTAAAGTATGGAAGCCCTAGCCCTAACCTAAATAAGTTATGGCCATGGTTAAAAATTTTACAAGGTAGATCAAACTCCAAGGTCAAGGAGAAAGGGTCAAAGTTTTTGATATCAAATGAAAGGTCTTTTCACAAGGATTAAATATGAATAGGCACTAGCCCTAACCCTTTAAAAGTAAAGGTAAAAGTTTGCTTTTTAAAAGTAGGTCAAAGGGTCAAAGTTCTTGGTATCCAATGGAAGGTCTTTTCACAAGAATTGCACATATAAAGTATGAAAGCACTAGACCTTACTGTTCAAAAGTTATTGCCAAGGTTCAATTTTTTTCATAAGTACGGAAATTTCCACGGTCAAGGTCAAACGGTCAAAGTTGTTGGTATCCAATGAAAGGTGTTATCACAAGGAATACATATATTTAGTATAAATGTCCTGGTATTTACTGTTCAAAAGATCTGGCCAAAGTAAAAGTCTGGAATTTTTGTGTAAAAGTGGGTCAAACTCCAAGGTCAAGATCAACAGGTCAAATTTGGTGGTACCCAAACAAAGGTCTTGTCACAAGGAATACACATGTGAAATATGAAAGTCATAGTTCCACTATTTCAAAAGTTATGGCCAAGGTTCAAGTTTTTGCAGACAAACAGACAAACAGAGAGACAGACAGTTGGAAGGACACGACAAAAAACTATATACCTGCGAAACTTCATTTATGGGGGCATAAAAACTTCATTTACGGGGGCATAAGAATAATAATGACCATATTCATTATACCCCTAATCCTTAAACTCATTGAATATAATAATTTGACATAAGTTTGTGTCTAGTGTTTATGAGATTAGCTCTTAAAAGTTGTAAAACTAAAATGAGGTGTATTAAGGTGTATTGAGGTGTAAAGAGGTGTATTACTATTTACTAAATAGCTACGTGTCATATGGAGGAATTCATTGGTCAGGTATTCCTAGTACATTGATTGATATTGTTATTTATTGGTGTTTGAAATTTGGTGGTGATTGATGAGGTTTAAATTGAATTACTTGATTTCAGACTTTCAGTGTGTTGTATCAGCTAGGTAAACTGGTTTTATTTATATTTCATGGTTACTATTATTATTACTTCTTTGGAAATGTTAGGAGCCATTTCAACGAAGAGGGGGAATATGCAACAAGGGTTATGTATTGTTATTTAATGCTAGTCTATACTTGTGCTACGTATATGTGAGAATGTATATGAAAGACTTTGTATAAATGAGACAGTTGTTATTTTTAGACACAGAACGGACAGTAACATGACTTTATCCTATTCACTGAATTCCCGCTTTTACGAACTAAAATCAGGCACTCTTAGCCTAGCCGTTGAACTATTAATCCTATATACACATAGTAATATTTGTGAATTCTTGTGAGTGTCCCTGTAAGATAAATTTATGAAATATATTCTAAAGTAAAGTCTAATATGCTCTAATTATCAGTCTAAATGTTTGCCTATGTGTCGTCTATATGTTGTGTGCAATTGTAATATTTCAGGTTTTTGAGATTTTATTTCCACGTAATAAATTATTGAACCTGAACCAGACAGTCATTTTTCTGATGTTCTACCACTGGCTACATAGCCTTTATATATGATCCACTTTAATGGCTCCTATATTCACCTGGTTAGTCATGATTTGAACAAATTTAAATCTATATTACCTTTTTTAGATGCTTTTATTTTGATGATCAATTGTGGCTTTGTTGTTCTTGTGAAGAATTTTCATGATTTTTCCAATGTACTCCTAAGTAAAACCTTGATCACCCATTGTGGCCCCACCCTATCCCTGGGAATCATGATTTGAACACACTTGAATCTATGTTAGACTTGAGGATGCTTTCATATAACTATAACCAATCATGGCTTTGCTTTTCTTAAGAAGATTTTTAAAGATTGATGATATCAAGTTAAATACCCTTGCAGAAATAAATCCTGGAGGGTCAGGAGAAGTCAGGATATCCAGGGATTTCCCTGAGATATCCTGACATGTCCTGCTCTCCAAAAGTTTTGCTCCTGACAATTGTCAAATCCTGAGATGTCCTGATATCAGGTTCAGGATTTTATCAGGAAATGTTAGGACTTCATGTAAACTCTTACCAGAACAGGATCTTCCCAGGATTTTTCAGGTCTTTTAGAAGAGATCAAGTCCTGACACAAGGAAATCTCAAAACTTTTGATATTTTCTGAACTAAAATAAACTGAATCAAATAAAACCTGGTATATCTTGAGATCAGGACTGTTCAATTCAAAGTCCTAGAATATCCTGAAGTCAAGACTCAATATCTCTATGTGGTCCCTTCATTACAATTGCCCATGTGTTAAGTGTTAATTCTTTCTGATGATAGCATCACAAATGATTGGGGGCCAGGCAGGAGTTTCTTTAATTTATTGACCTTCTAATCTTCATCCCATCAATTTGCAAACGCTTTCCTCAACCTAAACAACCTGTTGTGTCCCCCACAATTACTTAAACTAAAGCAGTATCCAATGAGGAGAGCCAGTCAGGCTTTGTGCGCCTTCTCAGACCAGTTCAAAATTTCAACGCAAACCAAAATGTTTGTGAGGAACATGAAAGTATTTATACAGTAAAGAAGTGAAATATGCTTTGGGAAATACAATATGCCATCACCATATTGAACTAGATGTCAACATTTAAAAGTTAATTGTGTCTATGTCCATGAGATGAGGAAATTGAAGATACGAATGATCTGGATGCAGTGAGAGGAAAATTTCAAAGATTTGTTGGTGGTACTAAAGAATGCTATGAAAAGGGTAAGTGCATGGGCTTAATTTTGTATTTCCATGCATCCCTCATTTCTGATTACTATGATTATTTAGCATAGTATTTTAAGCTCTGTCTTAATAATAAATCTGTTCAGTACTTAATTTAGATATAAATACAGTATGTTATCAGTAAATACAATACATGTGTAAAATATATGTTACATCATGACATCATGTAATTAATGTTTTATAAATAGTTTTTAATATATGATCAAATATTTTCCTAAACAATTATTGCAAATTCTCTGTAGTTTCTTTTAAGAACTATATATAAACACGGTCTAATGTACATTATTATAGTACACAGCTCAGTGCAGTATTTTATATATTATCTATATTTCTTTCAGTGTAATTTGCTAATTTAATATTGATGCATATGATTTTTTTTCTATTGACTGGTCTTTCATGACCAACTGAACTATGATAAATATCATATCTTTTTTTTTTTTTTTTTTTTTTGATTTTGACCATTAATATAAACAATATTGTGAAAAATGTTTTAGAATAATAAAGTAACTTAATTTACGTTACAGGCCTAATAACAGAATGCATCCCTGGAGTCAGTTTTACCACCATTCCTTGCATCATGAAAGACTTTTTAAGTTCCAAAGAAAAAAAAATGATTAAAGAATAATTTGCATAAATAATAATTCTTTTGTCTTTTTAGTGTACAGAGAGACATGCATTGTCCATATTTGAATGCATTTTGAGAACTTGAACCTGTTTTTGAAAAAAGTGACAAAATCCCAGAGGTCACTATGACAATAAGGGGATTGTTAATCTCAGGAATATCTCAAGATATCCCAGGATTTTTACACTACAAAGTCAAATTCCTGAGGCCAGGATGATGACAGGATTGTAATCCCAGGAAATCTCAAGACATCCCGGGATTTTTGTACTACCATGAAACATGTGAAATATTCCTGAGGTCAAGATAATTGTGGTCAAAGGAATTCTCAAGACATCTCAGGATATTTTGCTTTACCAGGATGTCCTGTGAAATCCTGAGAAATCCTTGTTCCAATACCATCCTGACAATTCCTTAGGTCAGGTACCAGGATAATCTTAAGATTTCCTGGGATTTTTAACCAAGATATCTTGAGAAAATCTCAGGAAATCTTGGGATATCCTGGTCTATTTTCACAAGGTGTACGGCTGAAAATCTCAATATAATAGTGATATACCACTATTATAGCGGAATTAACGTCCCCCCCCCCAAAATGTCTAATGTCGCATGTCTTACTTTGAAGTTCCTTGGTACTGTATAGCTGTATCTTCCAGACCACATTGTCTTAATTAAATCAGCATAAGATGTAGCAATTTCACCTCCCATTCCTAAAGGATTTTCTTCATTAATTTCATCCTTCCATCTGTCTCCAAGTAGATAATTTGTCAGCTTTGGCACATTTGACATACACTTTAAAAAAGATTGAAAAATTTATGTTAAAGAAAAGTTTTCTTTTCAACTTTATGTTAGGGATTTGTTATGTATATGTGAAGTAAAATATTGATCTATTGCAGATTTCATTGTATACTGTGGAATGGGGGGGATCAAATGCATGTTTTTGGATACTGTAAAACAAGAAAATTTGGCACCTACGTATTTTAGCGCAAACGCAAGTGGGAATGCATTGGCGCAAATAAATTTTAGTGCTTGCACTTGTCATTAAAAAAAATAAATGTGATATTGTTTATTTATTTATCCATGCCCGGACATGTATTTGACTTTTTGGTTAGTCCAGCACGGAAACAGAATAGCACTCCCGTACATAAGTATACATACGTCAACTTTACCGTGGTTTTACAATCATATGGACATGGCAAAATGTTAAATTTTATTTTAATTTTAAAAGAAATGGAGTATTTATGCATTTTATTCATATTAAAAGAATGGATGAATTGAAAGAAATTTACTTGGATAAACGGTAATCATAATCAGGTATTGTCTGCAAGCTCAATCACCATGCTTGATTGCATTGTTTACCTAGAGGCGATAGATGATTGACACACCGAGAAGCCAAACTTGGAAGGTGCTAACGATAATTCTATTACATATCGCCTTTCAGCTCTACGAAGTTATCATATAGCATTTGTTTCCTTGTGTAGCGAAGCATAACTGAGAAGATCTCATTTCAAAGACTTAAAAATAGTGTGTCATGTGACTACACTCGGAACCCAACCCATATAAAAGCGACTGTCCACGTGTGGATATCATCTATACACGGAGGCTGTATGACAGCCTCCGTGTATAGGGATTGTCTTGCCCATGGAATGTAAACAGGAAGGATTTCCCAAGCACCATCTATCGGTGGAATTGTTTTCATTACCTTGAGAATTCTATTTTTAGAGCGACTCTGCGTTACACCGACCGCAAGGATAGGCATAGTCTAAAACAAAGATCGCGTCACATACAAGTATAAACAAACAGTTCTACTTTTTCTAAATAAACAGGATTTGTCTAATATTTTTTAAAATGACGTGTATATAAATACACTTCCTACGGAATATGTAAAAAAAAAATGTGATTTACTATTAATTTTTTATCAGACAGAATATTAGGAGATTTTGTTCCAACAGACGATGATAAAGCATGTTTTACAATATGCCGAGCCTTTTCCCGCCAGTTCTCACACCAAAACAAGAACGAGAAGAAATGAAGTGGCGGATCTAGAGGGAGTTGGGGGGGGGGGGGGGGGTTAACATCCGTGGAGAGTGATCGAGGAGCCCCACTTATCAATTGCTTCTTTTATTAAAGTAAAAACTATCTCTAGTTACAGATAAGTTTAAACTTTAGTTTTATATTTAATTGTAAAAACTTCCACCAGAATTCGCCTGTGTATCAAACTAAGTGTGGAGACGCAGATGTACCTGTCTGTTAAGAAAATTTCAGATGTACATGTATTATGACAGTTACTAATTGAAGAAAATCCTGCTATGTCGCATGCAAATGTTTTATGTCGCAGGTATAAATATAAGATATTTTAATAATAGATCAGGCATTTCAGTTTTAATGGAATTTTTTGTGCTTGATTGTTGTTTGTAATCTCATTTTCATTCCTTTTCTAATTTCTTTTTGAAAGGACCGATAAATTGGTTTGCGGCCGATTTTTGACGCTTGCATCAATAGGTTTCATGGAGTTTTTTAATCTGACAAGGATCGATGAATAAACAAATGCATAGTATTTTTATATGTAGGAATATTAACAGTCTAGTTTTGAATTGTTTATTTTAGGAATGACTCTAATTCTTGGCCAAATTATTCGATGATAACCTGGTTTGGATCAGTTTACGCTTTATAATCCGCGAAGCGGATTATAAAAAAGCGTAAACTGACCCAAACCAGGTTATCATCGAATAATCTGGCCAAGAATTAGAGTCATTCCTTATAATTTAATTTTTAAATAATTGAACAACTGTGGCCCAGGGTGTAAAATTGTAGTGGGACGTAATAACTGATACACAGATCTAGCAGCCATGATGTTTGTTTACACGAGGTAAGAGCGAGTTACTGTTTGAAGTTAAAGGCACATTTATTAAATCTGGATTTTTTTATGAACCCCATGGACTGGAAATGAGAGGATTGCATGGATACAGATGATTCAGCTGGTTGTCAAGGGGGTGTGTCCCCATACCAAACCAGGTTATCAAGAAATGGTTTGCGTTCCTTTTTGGAAATCAACCAATGAGAGACTAGAATATAAACAAAATTAAATTATTTGATATTATGTATAATTTCAGGAAACACATGAAAATAGATTTACACTTTCTACAAGCGGTTTGAGTGTTTGGGGGTACCCTCACATTAGATAAGAGAGAAACAAACGGCAACTCTGATATTGAGATCAAAATGCATTTGTAACGTTTGACCCTTGGGTACAACCCAAATTTTGGTTCATAGGATTTACATGATTTATCACATAATATCCTAATTAATAATTAAAAATCATATCTTCTGAAATAAGTTGTCTTATTGTCATATCGTTGATCCTTATTTGCATTTGATACTTGTGTTTTACCTCTTTCACATCCCAAACTTTAATTATTTTTTATATACAAGATTACATGTATTTCTGATCATTGGTATTCATGTCAATTTTTTTTAACCTACATCATTGGTAAAGTGATTGTTTTAACAGAGTTACTGAAAAGCAGAAATCATAGTTATATATTTATAACTTTTCTCTACGTAATTTGTAATCATGTCTCATTGTTAATGATTGTTTTAAACAGATAAACTGAAAAGGACAACCATTTCCACTGGTATACGAGTAAAGAAAGACATTTTTTGGGTTAATCTGTCATATGATAAAATACTACATTTAATAATTCCAGAAATATTGGTTGTCAAATTTGTCAAGATATATCTTTGTTATTGTAAGCAATACTCCAGTTCTCCAAAAACAATTTAAACTTGTGAAATAGCAAGTCTTATGAACTTGATTGTTCTGTTTACATAAAGTAAGAAAGTATATTTTATTCCACTCAAAAAATTGTGTTCTGGCACGAACATTTATTGCATGTTAATGAAGTTGTGTTACTTAAAGAAAATTCTGTGTTGCTTTCAAGCTAGGTCACCCCATTTTGTATCACAAACATTTAAGACAAACTGTACTATATTAAGTTGTTCATGTCCAATTACCTGGCTGCTTCTTTTTCCATGTTAGCTCATATCATAACATTATTACAATAAGGCTGAGAAATTTTAATTTTGGTAGCTGTTACATGTCATAATTATGTTAACAGTAGGTCTCTGTGACCTATAAATAAGATATCTTGAAATATGGAGACTCCTGACAGGCTGAGGCCTAGTGCTGAATCCAGAAATTCTGAAATAGGGGGACCAGTTTGAGGTCAGGGAAGGGTCCCACAATTAAAACACTCATTTATCAAATATTGCATATTTTTTGGACTCAAAAGGGAGGGGACCAGGGACCCCTTTTAATTCCGCCAGTGGGCTCATGACTAGAACATACTAAACCTACATTCATCAAACCGGGCCTGGGGGCATACAACTTAGACAAGCTCACTTTTGATCTCAGTCTCACTTTTCCACTATATATTCCTTAAGTGAGACTGGGATAAAAAGTTAGCCCGTCTAAGTTTTATGTCAACCAGGCCTAGTCAATTACTGTTTCTTACTTTGAAAGGTTTAATATTGAAAGTATCTCATCTAAATAACAGTGAACTTTAATCAAGGCGAAGTTTACATTACAAAGATGAAATTATAATATCCCAAAAACCTCATGAATATTGGAGTATCCTTTGAAAAAAATGTTGAATTGAAAAAAAAAAACTACACATTATTTCTCATAATATTCTTTACAGCAATGTATGAGATATATATTTCTTTTGTGTTCTCTCATACATGAAGCCTCCGTCTAACAGTACTTTCAGTACTTTGATTTCTTGAGCGAGCATAACATAGGCACGTTTGTATTCGTGTTGGGTTTTACATTTATTGTTTTAAGTCTATACGTCTCTAGGACGAAGTCCAGAGAAAATATAATAAAGTGACTTAACTGTTTGTAATCTTACCAAGAACGCTGTTCTGGTTGTTTTACTTAGGTGTTTTTTCTTATATACCTGTTGTAAACACGTGTTTTTGTCTTATATTGATAATGTCGGATTTGGACGACAGAGACGATGTCCTGTCGCTGGGGGGAAACAGTGATGAAGAGATTTTTGATAATGAAACTGAAAAAATGCAAACTAGGTCTGATAAACTGTCACAGTGTAAAACACGTGGCAATAAAAAGAGAAAGTCGGCCATAGAGCCCGGTGTAAACACAACCGTCACTGTTAAACCGTCTAAACAAAGACATGTAACGAAAAAATCAACAGGAAATGATACCTGTTTAGACATAAACGAATTAAAATCTGCATTAGGAATTGATACTATGTTGCAATCAATTTCTACTCTTGCTAAGTCTGTTAAGAAAATTTCAGATGTACATGTAGGTCAAAATTGGCAAAGTACGGCGCCCAATACAGGAAATGAGACAGTTACTACTGGTCTGCCCAGTGCTACTGTGTCTAGACCTATATTAAGTTTAGATCAGGGTGAATCAAATTTTTTTGACAATGAAAAGACTTTGAACGATTTTAATTTGAGCTATTTGGATACCCCCCCCCCCCCCAGTCCTTCATTGCCTGGGGTAGATCCTCAAGTTGCTTTTCAAAATGCTTTTGAGTCGGTTGATAATGAGAAGCCTTTAGATGATGATTCATCGTGGAATATTCCACAGCTAAATCCAGATGAGGTTACCGGCCCTAAAATTGGGTCTGGTCTAGCCAAAGCAGTTAACGCTGCACTCTCTGTTAAATCTTCAAAAGAAACCATGAATGACATTGGTAAAAAATATAATAGACCAGAAAATTGTACTTTGTTGAAAGTTCCACGAGTAAACAAGGAAATATGGGATGTTCTCGGAAAACAAGCTCATTCTTCTGATTTGTCTTTTCTAGAGATACAGAAGTCTCTGGCCCAGGGTTTAGTACCTATTGTCAATTTAGCAGATCAATTAGCAAATAATAAAGAAATAGACAATCAAAAAACAAAAGCCATGTTATCTGATTCAATCAGTCTTCTTGGTTATGGGTTTTACAATTTGTCAATGAAAAGACGACATGAGATCAGAAATCACTTGAATCCTAGGTACAGGAAGATATGTAGTTCTGATGTCCCTATTTCTGAAAATCTGTTTGGTGACAGCTGTATGTCAAAACTTAAAGACATGGGTGACATAAATAAGTATCCCCTTAGCTCTAACAGGGGGCAAGGTGGAAACTACTCTGCATACAGAAACAGAGCTCCTTTAAACTACAGGGGTGCTGCTGGAAATTTCCAGCAGCACAACCAAACATATCAGTACAGTTAAGGTTACATGTAAGCAAACAGAGGGTACCAATACAGACCTCGAGGAGGCCAGAGCTACAAGAGAGGAGGACAGAGCTACTCCCAGCAGCAAAGTTATTTTCAGAGAAACAGTCAGAAGAAATAGTTAAGGTGAGAAAACTTAACATTGACTATTGGAAAAATTTTACAAATGATAAATGGATTTTAAGCACAGTTGAAGGCTATAAAATTGATTTCATTGAGGAACCAAAACAATTTTTTATTCCAAAAGGAATCTCCTTTAATGAAAATGATTCAAAACTGGTTCAAAATGAAGTAGAAAATTTATTAGCAAAGGGTGCCATTGAAAAAGTTTACAATCCATCAGATGAATATATTTCTAACATTTTTTTAGTACCAAAGAAAGATGGAAGTCAGAGACCAATTATAAATTTAAAGAGTCTTAATGAATTTATTGAATACCAACATTTTAAGCAAGAAAATCTGCATTTTGCTTTGGAACTAATCGAAAAATATGATTATTTGACATCAATCGATCTTAAAGATGCTTATTTCAGTATAAGTATCCATCCAGATTTCAGGAAACATTTGGCTTTTTATTGGAATGATAGTTTGTATAGATTTACTGTTCTTCCTTTTGGTCTGGCCTCTGCGCCGAGAATTTTTATTAAAGTTTTGAAACCAGTTTTTGCAGCGTTCAGATCTATGAATATTAAATGTTGTTACTATATTGATGATTCTCTCATTGTTAATACAAGCTTTGAGAAATGTAAGAGAGAAACTGAAATAGTGACAAATGAGTTGGACAATCTTGGTTTCTCAATCAATCGCAAGAAATCAGTAATGATACCTACTCAAAAAATAAAATTTTTTGGCCTTATCATTGATTCTGTGGAATTTAAGGTCTTTCTTACTGATGAGAAGGTATCAAAAATTATGTCATTATGTTCAGAGATTTTACACGAGCAAATTGTTCCAATTCGTAAATTTGCATCCTTGATTGGTCTTATTGTTCATGCATTCAATGCTATATTTGTTGGACCTTTGCATTACAGAAATTTGGAAAGAGACAAAATAAAAAGTCTTAAAAATTCTATAGATTATGAATCGGAAATGGTTATTTCAGAAAATAGTGTTCAGGAAATAACATGGTGGTTACATAATGTAGAAAAACTTAATGGGAAATTAATTCGCAACCCATCAGTTGACTACTGGGTTGAAACTGATGCATCCCTTCAAGGTTGGGGAGCAAGTTTTGAGGATAAATCTACTGGAGGCCGTTGGTCTGTTTTAGAATCTAAGATGCATATTAATGAATTGGAACTTAGAGCTATTCAGTTTGCACTCAGAGCTCTTTTTTACTGGGTATTTAAACTATCACATGAATATTAAATCTGATAACACTACTGCAGTTGCTTATATTAATTCCATGGGTGGAATGACTTTTCAAATTTGGAACTGGTGTTTAGACAAAAATATCATTATTTCAGCTAAACATATTCCAGGAGTGGAAAATGTAAAAGCAGATTTTCTTTCAATACAATTCTCAGATTCTAAAGAATGGATGTTAAAATCCGATATTTTTATTAGAATTTGTCATCATTTTTTCTTTCCGGACATTGATTTGTTTGCTTCAAGACTTAATTAAGTTAGTTAAGCAATTTCATTTCTTGGGTATTTGATCCAGATGCTGCCGATACTGATGCTTTTTCCCTGAATTGGACCAATTTAAAACCATATATTTTTCCTCCCTTCAGATTAATAGGGAAAATAATAAATAAAATCATTTCAGATAAAGTAGAGGAGGCTATTGTAATCATTCCTTTATAGAGAACTCAAAGTTGGTTTCCAATGTTAATTTCATCTTTAATTTCTGTTCCCGCCAGGTTACCAAGGCACAAGGATCTCTTGATCATGCCGCATACCGGAGAGTTTCATCCCATGGTAAGGAAAATGTCCTTGATAGTCTGTGTTCTATCAGGAAACACCTTGAGAGTCAGGGAATTCCAGAATTCGAATGCTCAATTATTAATGCAGCCCTTAGACCAGCCACCAATAAACAATATCAATATGCTTGGCAAAAATGGGTTTTTTGGTGTGGTAAATGGAAAGTTAATCCCTATCAACCGTCTGAGGTGAATGTTGTCAAATATCTGGCACATTTAATGAAACAGAAATGTTCATATTCAGTAATAAATTCAAATAAAGCTATGCTTTTACAAACCCTTTCCTTTTTCAATGTGAAATGGGTAAATAACCAGATTCTGATTCCAAAGTTGTTAAAGGGATATTATAATTTAAATCCCCCTATACCTAAATGTAAAAAGACAATGTGAAATGCGTAAATAACCAGATTCTGATTCCAAAGTTGTTAAAGGGATATTATAATTTAAATCCCTCTATACCTAAATGTAAAAAGACATGGGATGTCTCAAAAGTTTTGCTTTTCTTAAGTGCCCTTTATCCAGTTCAAACACTGAATCTCAAAATGTTGACACTAAAATTAGTAGCACTTTGTGCACTAACAACTGCTGCAAGAGCACAAGGTCTCTCAGCTTTGAATTTAGATTATATGTGTATTTACAATGATAAAATTGTGTTTCAAATTCAAACTCTTATGAAAACTTCAAGGCCAGGTATTGTATTGCCTTCAGTCACATTCCATAAATATGATAAAAAAGAACTTTGTGTTCTTGATACTTTAACAGAATATCTAAAGAGAACAAAGGATGTACATAAAAGTCCTTTTTTAGTTATATCATATAAAACTTATTTGAAAGTGACAACTTGTACACTAGCTAGATGGTTGAAAGAAGTTTTACTTTCCTCTGGAATTGATACCTTTACCGCTCATTCCTTTAGGGGAACAGCAGCATCCCTGGCATATAACGCTGGCACCTCCATGAAGGAAATTATGGATACAGCTAACTGGACCTCTTCAAAGACTTTCCATGCGCATTATTTGAAAAAACTTCCTGTGCAGAATTCCTTTGCGAAAAGTGTGTTGGACAATAATATGAAAAGACAGTGATTCAAGTGAAGTTTTCTTTTTTGTGTAAATAAACGGCTGATATTATTTCATTTGATTAAACATTCAATGTGTTTATAAAATATTTCTTATTGTGTTTGTTATTTTGTGACAACACTTTGAATATGCTATATGATACCCTCGTAGAGCCGAAAGGCGATATGTAATAGAATGTTCCCTCATCCAAGCATACCTTTAGGGATGTGAAGGATGAGAGACATTCTATGTAATGAGCCTGAGGCTCAAGAGGGTATCATATACCCACCCATATTTAATAGACTTTCATGTTTTGTTTTTCCCAACCCCTTTTGTGGGTTGTCACAAATTCTGTAAATTATGATATCCACACGTGGAGAGTCGCTTTTATATGGGTTGGGTTCCGAGTGTAGTCACATGACACACTATTTTTAAGTCTTTGAATTGAGATCTTCTCAGTTATGCTTCGCTACACAAGGAAACAAATGCTATATGATACCCTCTTGAGCCTCAGGCTCATTACATAGAATGTCTCTCATCCTTCACATCCCTAAAGGTATGCTTGGATGAGGGAACATTATCGGGTAACAACTAACCACAGTTTAATTAAATTATAATTTGGCAGAACTTTCTCGAAAGATCCTACCATGTACAGTGCTAGTGTGTACATATAAAATCCAACGACCCTTCGACAATACGTAGTCGAGCGTTCCCGTTTACATGTACAAGTTTATAATGTGAAAGCTTTGAACACATGCAAAAAATTATATTTAGAAATCTGTTAGCGCACAATAAATTTTAGCTTTCAGAGGCTCTTGTGCCATTTAAGGCACTAAAATTAGCAGTGCACCAAATATTCTCGTTTTACAGTATTAAAGAGACAATTTCATAATTTGAATGATGAGGCCAAAAAAAAAAAATATGTGTGTTTCCGGTAACATGTCCCTCAAAATTAGGGTAGGTAGGTAGGCAATTACTTTTTTTTTTACTTTTACTTTTCATTTTAACTGAACATTATATCTGACTGTTTTTTAGGTAAACTGTATATGATATTAAATATTAACAAGTAGTATTTTGTTTTCTAGAGGTAGGTAGCGGAACCAATTGCAAGAAATTGATTTACAGAAAAAGACATTTGAAGTTTAATCACAATTTAATAATGAAATTTTGTCACATTTAACAAAAAAGTAAAATAAAGAATTCAAGATTGTTTTTCAGGCCTACTTCTACCACGACCTCATTATCATTACATGTAAAGACATAGTTAATATCCATTTCTTTCACGGCCAATAATGTCAGGGTTAAACCGCCGTTGTTACAACAATCATGTAGCTTCATATGACTATCTCCAAATAAATTTCCCACAGTCCAGTGCCAAAGAAAGTTATATATTGCAGTTATTTCGTATGAGTGCATGTGGACATTTCTTGAGCTTAAACCCAATGACAACATGTGGTGGACTCGGGAGTTGAGTGATGCACATATAAAATAAGTGATGAAATACATCTGGGGCCACAATTTGACACACTAGCCATATTCCTGGAGTGTTTGCCTAGTGGCTGCCCCTTACAGCGTTTTAAATGAATTGGAGTGCATTTTAAAACTGAACTAATCATGCTAATAGGGGTCAAACAATTCTTTTATGCTATGTATTATATATCATTGGATTCGTAATAAATCAAATTTTTCTCATCTATTTACAGAATTTTTATTGTAATTTTCTATAAATAAATAATTCAGGTGAAAGCAGGTGTAAATCGCAAAATAGATATTTTAAACAAATATGCCAAAATTGTCTTTAAAAACTATGAAATTTATGTGTGATGTTATAATTAATGATTAAATTATTATTTATTATCCATTTTATTAGTTTGATTCCTCAGAAATCAATAATTGTAGTGATACTACAATGTCAATCTCGCCAACAAATTTTCAAACTTGTGTGATTAAACTTGATTTCTAAACGTTTTTGAATATTTTAATGATCAAATTCTATTACAATAATTATTTTCTACACCTTTACATTTATAACTATGCGTAAAATGGAAGATATCTTCTGAATTTCTGAGAAACAGGTAATGAAATCGGCACTGCGCGGTCCCGAACTTCACAAAATTTTCGTATCTTATATTGAAGTATATTACACGTGTAGATCATTATGATTATCAAACCTTTCTAGGAATATGTAGTTGATAGCTTGAATTCCATGTAATGCTTTACTGGATGAGAAAATATTGCGTATTGACTGAGTTATATGCTCAAAAAACATCGTAAGTAACAGTCCGCCATTTTGAATTTTGGTGGGACTTTCCGAGATTCTTGTGTTTTTTTAAACAAGTAAATCATGTGATTTCCAACTGTAGTATGATGCAATCATCTATTGTTAACCTGCAGGTGGCCACCTGTGCTCTGATAATTTAAAAACAAGCGGTAATTTCAAGTCAAATCAACAATGAAAATATACACATGTGTCAACATCGATTTGGTCAAAAGTCTTATTAAGGGTTGGATGCTAAGTGTCAAAAGTCGTCATTAAAGGGTAAAGGAGTGAACGATCTAAGGGGAAAAGAGCTATTATCTACGCATGTATAATCTTAAGATGCTTGAAAAGACGTTTTTATTTAACTGTTACAAGTGCCTTTTTAACTGCGCGCGTTTTGAAGACTGTGGTTTTTAGAACAAATTACGGTACGTAATCCGGATTTGCAATAAAAAGTTTTAGGGTCGGCGCGTAAAATTAGGGTTGGTTGGGTTACCGGAAACACAAGTATTTTTTTTTTTGGCCTGATATTTGACCTGATAAATAAATCTTATAATAAAGAAATTGAACTGTACGTATCACCTAATTATGACTCCATTGCTCGTAACAGGAAGATTTTACTAATTATATTCCTACGTGATTCGTTGACACCCTATTGTGACTAGGGCTGGGTGTTGGCCAGAGATCTTGTATAAGTTGTATTGCCATATATCTTGCAATATTTTTCACCGTTTGCGATATATACTGCAATAGTTTCAAAAAAAATTAAATGGCACTTTCTTATCATATTAACTTTAATTCATATGCAGAATGTACATAACTATGATAAGTAACCAAAAGAAATAAAGCGCCCTGCCATAGCATGATACGCCCGTCAAATATTGTTCATTTACAGCAAAACTCCGTTATAACAAAGTCTCAGAAACCTATGAAATTACATCACTTTATCCGTAATTCATTACAACCCTATAAGAAATTCATTAAATTGATATAGCTGGGGATCCAAGATGACTTCGCTATATCCGTAAATTCGCAATATCCGTGTTCGTACTAATCGAGTTTTGCTGTAATTATCATAAACACTTTAGAGTGCAAGAAAAACATGCCAGTCTTTAAAAGGATTTCCCTGATTTTTCCATTCCTTATATTTATAACAAATAATCATCAACTGGTTCATTATAACTTGACAAGTGCCCCCCTCCCCCCAAACACACACACCAGAGTTTCCGAAAACTATCGGTCCTACCGGCAAAACCGATAGAAAATCGAAATGTCCGATGAAATTCGCTATAGTACTGGTCCGTGTGACTGATTGTGGTGAGGGCTTGTCCTGATTAATTTATTGTACTCTGATCTATTGCAATGTCTTCATAAATGAAAATTTCCAATGCAGCATGCTCCTATTCTTTGTAAATATTTATAATCTGATCCATTTTGCAATTCTACTTGACTTATTTACTTCCAAAAACGATCGTTTTTTTCCTAATCCGAATTTCCTCCATTCCTCTGTTAATAGTAAACATATTAACTTTAATTCATATGCAGAATGTACATAACTATGATAAGTAACCAAAAGAAATAATGCAGAAATACATGCAGTATGTAGGTCATACTGAGAAAACGTAAAGATAATTTAAATTTATTTTGAATTTCTATCATAACTGCTATTTATATATGATTCAATTTTACAAGTGAGATATATTAAAATTTCAATTTTAAAAGGAACCTTAACTTAAGAAATTTTCTTTTTCAAGAATTAACTTTTTTTCATAAGTAGTTGTTTATTTTCCCCAACATTTACTTGGGGCTAGTGACTTTATTGCTGCCGCAAGCCTGTGTGGGCTAGTGCCATGCTTGAATTATTTATAGTTGCATAACCCTGGTATCACAGTGTTGCATAATGGGCAATGAAAATTTATTCATATTCAATGCCATTTTCTTTTGAATTACATCTGACATGAAATATACGCTGTATATTCTAAAATTTATTCAGACTGATAGAATATGCTTCGGACTGGTAGAACGCATTAAGTCATCAGTCCGAATGACTGATAGAAATATTTGGTTTTCGGAAACTCTGACACACACACACATCTTACATGTGGAACATAAGCTCTGAAATTTGTCACTTGATATTTTCAAAAAATTTAATAAAAATATCATTATTAAGGTTTTTCCACCCTCACAATTTTAATGGTTCAAAGTACTAAAACTGCAAATATTTTCATTTCATATAGTTTAAATTTACCAATTATTGCCAAAAAGGTATACGTTGCCATATCATTTAAAATGGGAGACATATATCAACAGAAGCATGTGTTAAACAAGAGGCCCATGGGCCACATCGCTCACCTGAGTAACTTGGGTGATGCAGATCTTTACCAGATTCCCCCTCTTGCTATACCAATCATGCCAAACAACCCCCTTCCCTTTTTTATTTAAAAACTTTAGAATCTACACTACCCAAGGATGCTTCCACATAAGTATCAGCTTTCCTGGCCCAGTGGTTCTTGAGAAGAAGATTTTTAAAGATTTATTCTATATATTTCTCGGTAAAACTTGGATTCCCTATTGTGGTCCCGCCCTACTCCCGGGGGTCATGATTTTAACAATTTAATATCTACACTACCCAAGGATGCTACCACATAAGTTTCAGCTTTCCTGGCCCAGTGGTTCTTGAGAAGAAGTTTTTAAAGATTTGTTCTATATATTTCTATGTAACTTGGATTCCCTATTGTGGCCCCGCCCTACCCCCGGGGGTCATGATTTTAACAATTTAATATCTACACTACCCA